ATTTCAAATCTCTTCCAGGCATCAGATGCCAACAGCATGAACTTACTCCTCCAGGAATTAGGGTAGCAACCTGTGAGTCACTGCCTGATGTGCCAGCAACACTTCCTTCCCCACTGCACTGGGGTCACCTGTTTGTTGTATCCAGCCAAATCACGAGATACTCTGGAACAGCTGTAGTGCAAGGACTACATTCATAGGAGTTATGTTACTGGTAGGTGCCCAAATAAACAGAAAGGAGCATACCATTTTACAACTACCAATTCAAAAGAACTTTGTGTTCTTATAGATGGTAGAGAAAAGACAAAACAAAACAGAACACAAAAGTTCTGTCTTTTTGGATAGGTAAAACTGAAAATGAGCCTGACCCAAACCTTGCTGAAATCTGAAAGCCTTTCCAAAGACTTAATGACAGGTGAATCTGTGTAATTATCCTATATAATTACGTAAAAGCCTGTGAGAGGCTTAGTGATTGAGAAGACAAATGTTTATGACATCTGCATTCAGTAAAGTTCTGGACTCTTGTGTGATGTTTCATAAAAAAATATAAATGTATTATTTAACTTTCAGAGCAAGACTTAAAACTTCTTGAAACTAACAAAGAAAATGTCAGAATCAGGGAGGCCAGAGAAGCAGCATTTCAGAAAGGAAAGGAAGGGATGAACCTACGTGGGAGGACAGGATGACAATGCCCAGTGGCATACTGTAAAAGCATGTACATGATGACTACCAAGTGTAGGCCAAATACACATGTAAATTAAGGCTCTAAGGCATCTGAGATGTTGCTGATTCACTCAGCATCCTCTACCCCTTCCTAGATGAATTTGAGCTCCTTAGGCTCAGCCAAAAGACATCAGTTCCTATGCAAAATAAAACAGGTGCCAAAAGGAATGGAATTATCCAGCCAGACTGAGACCACATATCTTGTGTATTTTCCCTACGTGCCAGATTAAGCTAGGGCCTTTTCGTGTTTTCCAAATTTAGAGAAAACTCACCATCAAGAATAGATCCTTAAAGTTACTAACACAGGTGTCAATGTTCAATCTTTAAGAGAGAGGGGGAATTTCTGCATAAGGGCAGATAGACACTGAATGCTGGTGTCATCCCATGCAAGACAATACCTCTAGTCCCTGAGGGCAATGCTGGCAATAACTGCATGATTCCCCCGTCCGCAACTTTCCATCAGTGAAAAGCTATTTTGCAGCCACTAGAGGCTGACCCATCCCATCAGATGGTTGACTTCTAGACCTTACAGAGGGCAATGCTGCCTTTCATATTTCGTTCTTAGAATAGAGAAGACGCAGCTTGCTAAAATTTTATTTCCCTCTCCTTTTTTCCTTTCTGACCAAGATTTCTACAGGTACTTTTGCAGCAGCTCTTACTCACAGGAAGTCAGATCTATCAAACAGGGAAGGAGAAGGTAGATTCAATTTTCTACATCATGTTCAACCAGAAGAAGGCAGGGCAGTCACCACTAAGTTCTTTCAGAAAATTAAATTAGCAAGCCAATGAATTTCCCATTGTAGGTTTAGGTCCACAAATTAAATAGGAATAACTGACACTTTGAATCACGTGTCCCAAGCAAATGGTTCTTCAGAGTCAGGGTCATTGCCACTCTTCTGAAGAGAAAAATTTCTGTGGTGGCAGGACAATCTAGCCAGCCTGCAAGCAATACAGAGCTGAAGATCATCCAAAACCACCACTACTTTATTCTTCTATGCTTCCATTCTCTAGTAAGCACCATGATGAAAATTTACACAGCACAAGTTTACTGAAGAGCCAGAATTTTTCCTAACTACTTAGTGGACCTTTCCGAAGTTATCCCTATTATTTTCTCCATTCATTAAAAGGGTAAGGCAATGCTTATATACCAATCAGTAGAACTCATGGACACTGTTCTCCAACTGCCATAAAGGCTAAAGGCTACACACAAGTGAAATTTTATGTAATTTATTCTTTTTTTACTTCCACAGGGTACTCTATTGAACATGCTGAGCAACCAGTTCATTTTAGAAGATAAAATACAGCCGAGTGAGTTTGCCTTCATCACACAGTAGGACTTCACATATATAAAGAGGTGTAGGAAAAAGAAACTGGATGGCTAAAGGGACAGAAAAAGCTCTAACTCCTCAAGTACTAATTAAGCTCTCTGCAGCTGACACAGGCCAACCTGGTACTTTTCAGCTGTCCACCATTCTGGATGCTAAAAGTTTGTATTAGTTTAAATGATGGTTACATTCTGAGAACGGAAAATAACCCACACAAAACCACAGCCACCAAGGGCTACTAAATACCTCTACTAAACACTTGCTGCTTTATAAAGTCGTTGAGTCATAAGTCAGTATTAGCTGAAAGGCTACGTTAGAAAACTAACAGACATGTCTCGGCCTTGTTCTTATACCCTGTTGTTTTTATTTGCTGCGGGTTCCCATTGAAGATACTCAATCGAGTGGATCTTTGGTTTAATCCAAAATAACCCTCTGTGCAACTGAAATGGACCTTCCTTATTCAATGATAAATGACTTGATGAGTTTACTTATAATAAGAAAGGCTAGAGTTCTAGTTATTATAACAAGTAAATAGCCTCGAACCTTCTGTCAGTTAAATGAGACACAGCTGGATTTTGGATTTGGTTTGGGGGTAAGTTGCAACATGTAGCTCCTCTACATAATAATTCTAGGTCTTTCATTTTCTTCAATACCAAACTAAACCCCACATTTTTTCCCTTTTTTTGTAGAGCACTAACCAGCATTCCTGGAGTTGTTGCACATCAGAGATAATCCACACACACAAACAAGGCTATTATATCTCTATACATGTTCTTTTCATGCCAATTCAACAGAAATTCTGCAAATTAACAAGCCCTGTTTACTTTGAGAGGTTTATTCCATCTTCTTTCTAAACCAATTGACTCAGCATGTTTCTTCTGAAACAAAAAATAGCAACTAAATATAAAAGAAGCCAACTGCCAAACTGAATGCTTTTATAATTACATTAATAGAGGGGCCAAACAATGCATTTATAATTATTACAATACTGACCATTATTTTCTAATGGGACATAGATTGAATAGACTTTATAGCTACACTAACTGTAGTTTCAACCATCTTTTCTGTACTTTGAATTTTGGTGATGCCAAAAAACTAAAGTGTAACAGCAGCCATCAAAATAATACCAATAGTAAAAAGAAAAGCCTAACAAGAAGGGCGATGCTGCTTTTATATCAGTGGCCAGAAGTAATTTCTGGAGCTAGTGGAAAGTGGTGCCATTTGACTCAGGTCAATGAATTAAACATCAGTTTCTACAAGCAGAAGGGCTGACTCCTCATGAAGCTCTTCTCACTTAACCGTGTCTAATCTTCTTTGCTCCAAAAGTCAAATTTCCTCCCCCATCTCTTATCAGTATTTGTCATTGTTTACTCAGCCTGAGAAATCATTTGCCCACCTTATTCCACCATTAATATTTTCTTCCCTTTGTTACACCTCCCAAGTCACTAACAGACAACAAACTTGGTTCACTTGCCATTTTAAGCATTTGCTATATGCATGGTCTTAGGGGGACATTTCAGATCTGTTTAATTTTATGTCTATCCTTTAATTCAATTCAGCATTTCAGTTAGTCTTGTGCAGAATTGGATAGTTTGAAATGAATTAATGCAAAATATTCATCTTTGCAAAATGAAAGTGATCCAACTTGGTTATGAGATGAAACTGTATCACGAAAGTAACATTTCCAGTGAGCACCTGTACCTATACAGAGTTCAGCTCTACCACAACATCAAGTGGGCATCATGTGCGAGAGTGTAAGTTCATTTAGCTCTTTACCCTGTCTCTGCTGATGGTTAACAACAGATATCTGTGTAAGACCTTGGGAAGCATGAATTAGTATTTCCTCTGCTCTCCCAGTCTTCAGCAGTTGGGATTCTTTGCCTTTCTGGGCCACAGATGGCATCCCGAGATTGTTTCTGGAGCACAGAAGCTTCCTAAAGAGTGTAATGCACTGTTGCACTTTGCATTTCTTGTTTATTTCTGCCCAGAAATCCCATCCTAGGCAGAGTTTTATTGAAAATTGTATGCTGTCTCAAAAAGCCTTACATGCGACATCAGTATCTTAAATATTTCAGAGTTCTAATTTCTTTAAAAATTCAACCCCTGGCTCCTTAGCTTACACAGTCATTGATCAAATAAGAGCATTTCTGCCTTTTCACAACTGCACATGAAGTCCAGCTCTTTCCCTATTCCAGCTCCTACACACTGTCCAATCACAGCTCTTTCTCTATGCTGTAGGTAGATATTACATAGTCCTGTAAGTACAACCCTCAGCCCCTGTCCTACTATTATCCTTTGCTGAACTAAAATAAATTTTTTCAAGTGAGCTCTGCTTACTAAGTCATCCATTTGCTCACTGTGATTACCTCAGGTCTCGTTTTGATTCACTACCCTGCCTGTCTTCAAACTTGGAAATTATAACAGATTTATTACCAGACTAATGGCAAAGATGCCCTATATCATTGCACCTGGAACAAACCTTCCAGAATGTCATTAGAAATATCTTGCCAGGAGAGGATTTCTTGCAGATGACTTTTGATTCACACGAATTTGCTGATTCTTGATTATGCTTAACCAAATATTTCACTATCAAATAGCTGCAAACCCATACAGCGATAGCACACAAATCTCCCAACCACAGCCAGTATCCTGTTTTCTGAATCATGCAGCTCTCTCATATCACAATAAGTTCATTCATACTCCTGCTCACTCAGATCACAAACTGGGCTGATTAACTCACAAAGAAACACTAAATAAGAAGTAGAATCCCTGTTCTGAATCCAGGGCCCTTTTGCTCCAATCAAACAAATTACTGTGTTGAGGAAGAAAAGTCAGGAGATTGAAAATAACTCCTCCAAGTCTCTCCTTAAGGCAGCATTTGGCTTCCAAGCGCTGTTGTGTATCATCTTAATAAAGCACTTGGGAAATAAATCAAAGGCTATTAAAACACTTGTGACATCACACTTGCTTCTTTGAGTAACATCCACGTCTTGAATTTACAGTACATGTATGCTGAGTAGCTGGTGGACTGTAAAGAAAAAAAAAAAGTGTATTGGCTTCTTCCTTCTTTGGCTTCTTTATCAGAGATAAAGTCTGCTGGGATTGTAATGAGCTTTTCTTACAAAAGAGTTAGCATTGTGAAAGCTGTTAACATACAGAGAGAGATTACAAAGAATAAAATCATTTACCTTTGAAAAGGGAATACTTAGCGGAAAATTTACTGAGGTCTTTGAGTTTCTTTCTTACTACTTTCATCGTGACTAGCCTCTAAATTTTATGCTGCCTCATAACAAGAGAGCACATCGTCACTCAAGCATTGGCAGGGAAGCGAAGAGAAATTATATTTCCACAATGCCTGTAGTCAGGGCACACTGCTCACAGGCAAAGGAGGTCAGAGTCTTGCAAACCACAGATGCGCGTACTAAAAAGGGCCAACAGTCTATAATTGATACAACTTACATTTTTAACTAGATATTAAAGTTAATATGGCAAGTCATCAAAACTCATGTTTCGGGGCATAAACTGATTACTGTAGCAGAGCAAGAAATACAAATTATCCCAAAGGTAGCAAGCTTATTAAGAGTTTAACACTGATAATAGCTGTCATTTAGCTGGAGGCAGGCTAGGGGAGAAAAAAGCACATCACCTCTTGAAAGCTCCAGCAATGAATGCTCATTTTGAGGAAGAACTGAGGAAAAACTTCACATTCTTACCTACTCCACAGCATGATGTTGCTTTCACTTAAGGTGTGCTACCACAGAGTAAGGAGAAAAAAAAAGGCTCTAGTACTGCCTCCCTCACCTCCCAGAAAACACAAGAACAGAGGAGCTGAGAAGTTACAACCACAACTGGGGAAAAAAGATTGTTTCATATATTCATAAAGAAACAAGTATCATAAATAAGTGCATTAAAATTTCATGTTGCTGCTACCTCTAGTGCTTCTGCCATCTAGTAGTTCTTACCAGCAGTGGTACACAGTCCATGGTCATATCTTCTGTGTTGATTTTCTTTCCTTGGAAAGAGAAGTGACTGTTTAAAAGGAATGGTTTTGATTCTCATTTCTTACCCTTTTGAAAAGATTAGCCTCTGTTCAGGCAAAATCCAAACTAACATCGTCATATATTGACTCAAAGATGACAATCCGTACAAGAGTTTCTCAAGGTTCTGTTAGGTATTGGAAGAGAATATAGCAGAAGTTTGGCTCAGTAAAGCATAGATCAAATATCTGTCAGGCTTCAGCTATGGAGGAAGATTGTAGGCTTATGCAGCTGTGTTTCTGCTCTCACTCTTCCAGGACTGGGTTTTATTAGCCAGCTTCATCCAAAACTCTCAGCTCATTTACTGCAGATGGGCAGGTAACATAACCCCATTAACCCATACATGCAGTGGTGAAGAAGCTGGCCTAAAGCTATATGTAGGAAGGCTAGGACTCACATCTGCCTTCCTCATTCCACAGCTCTAAACAGAAGATCTGTTGCTTCCTACAGCAGAAAGGACAGAAATAAAGGAGATCAAAAATGTGTGGGTTTCAGCCTCTTAGATTGATCCTTTGGAGCAGAGACAGCTTGAGACAATGTAAATACACACAAACCCTCAGTAAGAAAACAGTGACTTGTTGGTAAAGCATAAGGAGAGCTTAGACCTGCCTACAGATTCCTTTTTTTTCTGCTGTATTACCGAAGGGTAATTAAACAGATCTAGTTCTATCAAGAGAAGTTCTGGCCTCCTATTTCCCTTTTAGCTTATTTGAAAAAGGTTATGTATTCAAATATAAAAAGAAAATGCTGGCCTAATTTTGATTTCAGTCCCTTTTCCCCCAGAGGTTTCAAGGCCCATAAGACTGGCAGCTGAGTGCTGTGCAGATTTTAAAGCCTGCAGCTTACGTGAATTCTCTCAGAAGCTCTAGACACGTAGTCACAGCCTGCTGGGGAAGACTGGCAGCTTTTAATCAGTGACAAGGAACCTGCCATCTCCTTAGACTGCCTTCCAGTGTCTGTATCCTTTCCAACCAGCTTTGTTTCTCTCTTATGTATGGGAAATACCTGGTTCCTGATTAACTCTGAGGGAGTGTTTGCTTTCTTCCTGTTCTGCCATAGGAGAGCATCTTTGTGACATCATGACTATGAAAAACACCTCCAGTTTTACCAACAGTAAATAGTAACAGAACAGAAAGTTGTTTTTGTTTTTTGTTGTTTTTTTTTTTTAAATGCTGGACAGTGTAATCATGTAAGCCAATGGCCAACATTCAGCTGGTTTGCAGCAAAGCCAGTCTCAAGATTCTGCTTGGCCTGACCAGAGCTGTGATCTGAACCTTAGCCTTCAGTGTGACAAAGCATCTACATACTCAGTTCATGGAGATATCCACCCCATTCTTATTCCCCTTCCATCCTACCCTAATTTGTCTTTGCAGCCAAGATACTTTAAGCAATTAAGAAAAAGCTCTCAGGAAACAAGTGTGAAGAATCTGCAGTTGGGCTTTCCCATGTTTACAGCAATTTGAGCTATTCAACTCTCTCTTCACTACGAGAAAACCAGGAAGTGAGGCTTTCTTCCACCACAGAAAAGCTGAGGTTCTGAGCAACCACCCAACTCCAGTAGCTCAGGCTTGAAGGAAAACAAGAAGAAAATTATTGGGAACACATACACAGATATGTATATAGAGTCATAAAATACAGCAGTAAAAAGTACATTAGTAGAACGAACAACACTCTTTCTGCACGAATTTTGCCTTGCAGGGAGATCGGATATCAGTCTCTATCTCTCCTCATGAAGTCATTTAATGAACAATACATGTGGTGTTTCTGAATTTCTATTACTTTTCAACTCAGCATCTCTCATAGATACACTATCTATCCAGATGAAAAGAGATTTTATCTTCATACCTAACTACACAGCGCACAGTAAAATGCATGCTAGGGAAATCCATGCAACTTCCTGACAGAAGAAACTCATTTGGGGGATAGGGAAAAATAATGGGCAAAAGGAAGGTGTTTTACCTTCCACTACCATGCAAAGCACTGCATCAGTTTAGACTGCATTACAATTGACGTTCATAATCAACAGGACACGTCCTCCTCTACCACTTAATGCATCTCACCAGTGAAATTCCTCAGTGCAGTAGCAGCAGGAAGCTGATAGAATGGATAGAAAAGTTCCTGAATCCCCCCACGCCTCCTCCAAGCCTATATAAGGAGAAGTCAAGACGCAAATTAATTCCTGGCTCACCAGGAATCAAGTGTCCCTCACGTTGTCTCTGTCATACAAGTACAAACTTTCTCAGTGCTGAGTACACAGAAGCCATCATGGCACATCCTAATGACAGGAGACAAAATAAACCTTCCTTGCCCTAGTTGCTCCAGTGATCTGCACAGTATTCACTGTGGTCTCACCCAGTAGCCCTCAGCCTTCCTAAAGGACTCTGTGCCTTCTTGATGAACAGCTCATGCATTGCTGTCCCACTTTACACACACAGAGCCATCCACAAAGTCCACTGTACTCCAAGGCACAGAAGCCACTGGCAGGATCACACCCAAAAGTGGGCTTTGCTATCAATATTGAAGGCACAAATTGATTAATTGTGGGCTTTATTTCTCCTCTTCAGTTTTGCCCAACTATTATTTGGTAGGTTTTTTTTGATTCTCAAAAAAAAAAAAAAAAATAAAAAAAATAAAAAAAAAAAAAAAGAGGACACTTCCAAGCTAGCCACTATTTTTTGGTGTAAATGGTATTCAGTTTATGCTGCATAACAAACATACTATTGATATATCTTATGCATTTTTACAGCACATAGTTTCCAGGTGCTTCACTAAGTCCTTCATAAGAGACCTAATGACACATGCCTGGCCCTTTCTGCAGTAACAATAAACTGTGAATCTTTGCGTGGATAATTCCCAAGGTGGACATGCAGAAATATTTTGGGCCTGGATCTGAAGACCTTAGAGTTCAGATCTCAAGCTAGTATTAGGCACTAAAGTGGATTAGCTTTTTGTTAACCCAAGCTCAGCCCCAAAGACACTTTCCTTTTTGTGATTAGTAGCAGTTAAATCCCTATGAAGAGATAAGTACCATTTTACCCAGATCTGCAAAAGGAAGAATGATTGCATAGACATGAAGGAATGGAAGTATCAGAACATAAAGGGTGTTCTGATTTCTGTTTATGAACTGGTAACTATTGTGTTGTTTTTCCTCTTAGATATCAGCTCCAGTCTAGCTTGTCTGCAGTTATTACACATCCACAACAGACGGATGAACCCCATGGACCAGAACTAGAGATAGTTCTGTTATGTTTTACCAATATCATTTGCACAAACAGGTACGGTCTAGAAAAGAGATATGTAAGTTCATCATCTAATTTACAGAACAGGAAAGAAAAACTGCATTTAAACACTGTATGTCTGTAAAATGGCATGAACGTGGTGCATTTGTTATTTACAGTATATTGCTAATATATGTAGCATTAATATTCATTATCTTGATTTACATGTTTCTTTCATGCGGAAAATGGATTTGAGTCCTTTCTGATTTACTTGATAACACTCCTACATTTCATGACTGGCTGCAACAGAGAACACATTTCTAATACGCTTAATAAATTTACATCATCATTAGTGCAGAATATTTTATCCATACAGACCAGGGAATAAGCAGCACAGCACTAAATCCACAATCAAATCTGATCCTTCAAAATATCAGGGTATGATTCTTCAAGCTATGTAAAGGCAGAACTTACATAAGATTGATTAAATAAACACACATATGACACAAAATGCAATAGTTTTACTGGCTCTTATTCCTCAGGGAACATAAAACTCTGGTAAAATTCAATAAAATTTCATTTTCCTGCCGAACTAGGATCTATTTAACCATCTGCTGTGAGTTGTTTCCTAGGTAGGTCTTTTTTGGCTTTTTGAGTGCACTTTTTGTTTGATTGGTTGGCAATCCCCATACCTGCCCTCCAGCTTTATTTGAGCTGGTTTTGATAACATGAAAAACATCCCAGGAGACAGAAGACTTGACTGTGGTAGAAGTTTTTATTTCTGTCAGTCACCAGGGTAAAATGAGCCCCTTCGTGTAAAAACTTGATAGCTATAGGAACTATTAGGTCCCTAGGGGTCCTGATGGCTGAACAGTGTGTCCCATCACAGAGAAAAACTCTGCACTGAGCTCCACACACAGTGCATAAAATCCATGTTCTAAGCCCACTTCCAGTGCAAGCAGATCTCCTGCTGTGATCAAACCTTAAAAAGATATTGCTTCCTACACAAATAGCTGAGTGTGCAAACTCATTCTTCCCTTTCCCCAGATGCCCTCCAGCATCTATACACAGAGCAGACAGAGGTTGCTATGTTTGCAGGAGAGAAAATGAAAAAAGAATTAAACTAAAAGACACAAGGAAATGTCATTGTTACAATTTCACTAAATGCCCATAGGAGATAATGTGGCAGCATTTATCAAGCTCTGATATTCATTTAAGAAAAGTGACTTACACTGTGCAACTGGAGCACTGTATTTATAGATAAAAGCATTTCAAATAGTCCTTTTCAAGTTCCTTTTTCCCACGAAACTGCTGGTTAAAATGTGCTTAATGAGACTCTCCTTCCCCTCACTTTGTCAGTTCCTCTCATACGGATTTGCTTCTCCTACCTACTTCAGCTAAAAAACCCTAATCTGCTGTTGCAGAGCAGACTGTGTCACTAAGCCACACATTATGACCTTATTAGTGTGGTTCAGCAGGTAGAAAATAAATGTGAGTTGAGAACAGTCAATCTGCAAAACAGAAGTAAGGACCCAACATAAAAGTTCCAGAAGAACAATGAATGTATTAACAGACATCCTGGAAATTCCCCTCAAAGGAAGTAAGCAAATACAGACAAACTCTTAAGTGTCCTGTTGCAGTAACTCTCTAGTCCAGAGAAGAAAATCTCCACAAACACATCAATAATTTCTGAACATGATAAGAGTGAGAGAGGGCATTCTTACGTAGCAAGGAGCCAGAAAATTGCACGCAGAAACATTAGTATTGGAGGTTTCAAAGCACCTACAGTATTTATAACCACATGGCTGGGGTAAACTCACAGCCAAGAACTTTCCAGCAATGGGATTCAAGGGAGAGAAGGATGTCTAACAGATCATCTGGCTAGTATCACAGAATGGTTTGGGTTGGAAGGGACCTTGGAGATCATATAGTTCTAACTCTCCTGCCCACCCACTAGACCAGCTTGCTCAAAGACCTATCCAACCCAGCCTTGAATACTTCACAGGATGAGACATCCACAACTTCTGTGGGCAACCTGTTCCAGTGTCTCACCACCCTCACAGTAAAGAATTTCTTCCTAATATCTAACCTAAATCTACTCTCTTTCAGTTTAAAGCTATTCCCCCTCGTCCTACCACATTGCAATTTTGTGTTCAGATATGATCCTCAATCTACATCTACCTCTCTCCCTGAGGCTTCTATCCCTAGAGCAACTGCAAGAGGAAAGAACACATTCCAGTTTCTCCACTGCTTCTTTTCATTATCTAACATACTAATACTAACCCATCTTCAACAGTAAATGTTCTCATCAACACACTCCCATACACAATGATGCTTAGGGGACTACTCAACATACAGGCACAACACAAGGGTACTTAGACCTTAGTACCAAGTACCTTGGTCTACCTGAGCCCAATATCTTGTCTCTAGCAGTGTCTGAGAGCAGGACAGTGAATTCTTTATCTCATTAAGTTATCTCATTAAGTTATCTCATGGAATAAATGAAGGTTACTGATTCTTCTCTGGATTACATACCCCATTTCCCCATCTTGAAAGGACAGTTCCAGGCTGATTCACAGTGGTGGTGTTGGAAGGAGCAGATGAGTAAACTGATGGACAGTAGTTCCAGGTTAAACAAAAAGGCCATGTAAAATCTAGAAACAGATCCACTCTAAGCTTTCCAGGAAGGAAAAAAAAATAGCAACTCTTCAAAATCCCTGCTTTACACAGGGAAAATTAAATCTAGATCTATAGGAGGCATAAGTATTTTTCAGCATCCTTGAGATTTCTTCATGGCATATGTGCTGAAGCTTCCTTACTGCAGAAACCAGGAGTGGTGAAGGACAGGTTG